CTAAATAAAGTAACCTGAGAATTCCAGGTTTTTCCATAACTTTGGCGGATAATTTCCAGGTTAAGAATGCTATTTATGAAATGCGTTAAAATATGTTTTTAACGCAAACGTTTCTAAGACTTGACAATCAGTTTTAAAGAAACAGCTTCAGCTCAAATCCATTAAATGTTGAAGTTTAACACTTACTTCATTTGAGTAAGTCTAAGATCACAACATTTTTAATGTCTTGACGTTTCGTACTATCAAAATCAAAAATGTGGAAACTTTAATGAAGTTCTATTAATCTCAGAAAAGCTAGATCTATAGATCTTTGGGGAATTCCAGAGATTTTAAGGGGAAGTCCCCGAAACTTTACCCCCAGACGATTGAATTGGTTTAAAAATCTATAAGCGTGAGTTTAGACAAATTCAGTTCCATGAGGTGCTGAAATACAATCGAGAACCCTTAAGATGTTCCGAGAGATTCAGTATATAGACCTTCAGAAAATTGATGAAAACTTCAGAAAATTGATGAAAACATCAGAAATATTTCAGGAACTTCACAGAAATCCAGAGAATTCCAGGTTTAAAGGTGTTAACCAGAATTCCATTTATTTTAAAAGCAGAACTGAGATCTTCATTAGAGTTGAAAGTTTTAGGGAAGTTCCGAGAACATGAAGACAGATCAGAGAATTAAAGGGCAGTTCAAAATTTTTTAAGGATATTGAAGAAACCGGAATTTCCGGAAACTTCGGTTTGCTCAGAGAAAATTTCTGGAACGCTATAAAAATTATATGAACATCCGGAAACTGTGAGAGTATTTCAAAGGTGTTATATCATGGAAATTTCAAGAACTATAGAAAACTCGAAAATTTAGCTAAGTTGATTAGACAACATCAACTAACTACCATTGATTAAAAAAAAAAGTTGCTGCAACTTGATTGTCACTGAAATACGTTGCACATAAGTAACCACCATTGTTCAGTGACAAGTGCGCCGCTAGGGAGTGAAGTTCCGAGTACCTCGAGGACGATTAGATAACATCAGAAAAATCCCATTAACTTAAGGAAATTTGCAGCGACTTACCAGGAGTTCCTTGGAATTATGGGATCTTTCGAGAATTCTATGATTGATCCGAAAAGCTTCAGAGAGTTATAAATATATATCAGAAAATTTACCGGACATTTGATCAATTTAGAGAAATCAAGACTTTTAAAACTTCTTGCAGGGAAAATCAGTGATTTTAAGGTATAGTTCCGTGAGCGTTTATAAACTTCATTGAAAAAAAATGTAGAATGTGGGTTCTTAAAAAAAAATACTAAGGCAGGGCAGTCTAGAGAATTTAAGGAATTTGAGAAATATGTTGGGCAGTTTTAAAACATCAGGAAACTCTAGACTATTGAAGAAGTTATAAATTAGTTTCGATTATTTAAACTTCAGACAAATCTTGAGCACTTCAGTGAAAATCATAGAACTATATTAATTATGAAGTAATGAAATTGGGTTGTTAGCGGAATGCTTAAATAAAACAGCAAAAAAAGGGGTTAATTCCACTTAATTAATTTTGGTATCCATGACAGATACGTATTTCGACTACAATGTGCAGTCTTCATCAGTGTCATTCCCCTTAAGGGGGTTAGATTTTGATAAGTTCTTTAGTGGGAATGACACTGATGAAGACTGCACATTGTAGTCGAAATACGTTTGTGTCATGGATACCAAAATTAATTAAGTGGAATTAAATGGAAGATAACCCCTTTTTTGCTGCTATATTAATTATTTCGCTGCGGAGCGAAAGCCTAAAGAAGTTCCTGAAATTTCAGAATAACTTCGAAAATTTCACAGAAGTACAGAGATTTTCAGTAACATTTCGAGAACTTCATAAAAGTCTAATCATAAAAGGGAAGATCCGAGAACTCCAGGAACTTTTATGGACATTTCGGGAGCATCTCAAATAAGTTAAGTAACGCTCCAAAAACAAAGGGAATTTCAGGGGAGTTCAGTTCAATCAGTCTCACTAAATAAGCGGGAAATTTCAAAAAGTTCCCAGATTTTCATAGAACTTAAGAGATGTTAAGAAATGTATTGAGGTTTTCACATATGTAAGTCCAAAAGTTCACGCAATGATTTTTAGAACAGTTCAATTAAATTCGTGGTAGTACAACAAGCTTCATGAGAACTGCAAACACTTTAGAGAAGTTTCGAGATAAGTGCAATGTGATATCCTTCTACCGTAAGAAGAAACCGATCAGATTTGATTATTCCATCTCCGGCCAGATTTTGGAGAGAGTTAGTCAAGTCAGAGACTTAGGAGTTACTCTTGACTGTGCATTGACGTTCAAGCCCCATTACAATGACGTCCTGAACAAAGCCAACAGACAGCTTGGTTTTATATTCAAAATCTCCGAAGACTTTCGTGACCCGCTGTGCCTGCGGGCATTGTATTGTTCATTGGTCCGCTCTATTTTGGAGTTCAGTGCTGTCGTTTGGTGCCCTTATCAGGCCTGCTGGATTGCAAGGTTTGAGAGTGTACAAAGGAAGTTTGTTCGTTACGCGCTACGTCATCTACCCTGGCGTGATGCATCTAATACCCTGGAAACAAGACGACGTAATGCTCAAGCTGTCTTTGCCGCTAAGATTATTATCGGTGAAATTGACTCCCCACAACTACTTCGGCAGCTCTACTTCTACGCACCTGAGAGAGTAATGAGACAACGTAACTTCGTTCATCTTGCGACTCGTAACCGACAGTATGGGATGAATGAGCCTATCCGCGCCGTGGCTAATGCGTTTAATGATGCTTATGCTTGCTTCGATTTTAATGTACCGTTAACTGTTTTTATCAGAAGAATGTCCTGAATGTATAGATTGACTAAGCATCCTTTTAAACTTAGATTATTCATTAAGACAACCAAAAGTCAGATGAATTAAGATTATAATAAATAAATAAATAAATAAATAAATATTGATCTCGCTAATAAAAAAAACTTCAAGAAAGAACGGATATCCTCAGAGCAGAGATATTCCAGAGCAGGAAAATAACATACATTTTTAAAAAGTTTCGAGAAATTATGAATTGTTAACACTTAAGAAAAGATATGAAATCATCGATATGATATCAAGAAAAACTTTAGAGATGTTAAAAAAAATGATGAGAAGTATTGCGAGCATTAGGTTAGTTTTTCAAACTACAAAAGAACTTCATGGCAGTTTAATTAAATTCAGGAATATTTTGGGAACTTTCAAGTAGTCACAGGGCTGTTACAACCTGAGAAAAAATTTACTTGATTGCTTTTTTATTATATATTTGGTGTACTTTCATTATATAAAGTCGAAACAGTAATTGGACCAAGTTTTTGATATTTTTCCAAAAACTTGCGTTTTTTTTAGATCATAAATGTTTTGTCCATCATTTTTCCTTCTTGAACTATAGTGCAATAGATGGCATTTTTTGTCCCCTTAAACATATAAAAAAAAACAAAAAACAAAATGAAAATAATTTTTTGAGAAAAATTGTTTTTAATTTTTTTTTTAAATTTGAAAAAAATATTTGTGAATTTTTTAGAGTGCATATTTTTTGCAAATAGTCTCATCCATTATTCTTCATTAGCAATATTGCCCAAGACACTAAACCGATCGAGTAAAAATTTTCTGAAGATATTGTTGATATTTTTCTATATGCCCTTTTCAAAAATAAGGCTGGACTCAATATGAAGATGCAAAATGGCATAGTCGGTCATAAGAAACGTTTCTGCAAATTTTCAGCCAAATCAAATATACAAAAATAAACCGATTTGCGAATTCGTAAGGAATTGGTCGTTTGTAGAATTGAAAACAAACTGATCACAAAACAAAATTTTAACAATGTTATTGTTTTGTTGACATCGTTTGATAGTCCACTTGACCGAAAAATGTCAAATTCGTGCGCGGTCTATGCTTCGAATTGTTAAGAAATGTCAAAGTGCATCTGGTACCACTAACACTGTTTATTTTCGAAAAAGCTTGCGTTCGAACGGGTTCGTACGAAAACCAGAATGCCGTTTTCGAACTCGTTCGAATCGAGTCGTTCGAACGAACGAACGATTCGCACGAAAACGGGAATTGAGGTGAAAGTCTTAACAGGTGCGTAGGAATATTTCTGATCGATTGGTGATAAAATTATTGAAATTGATCCAGGGACATAATTTTGTTACATATTCCATTTTCAGTTTTCACAAAGTGTAGTCCCATATAGAAATTACAGACGTGGTCTAAGATGGCAAACATTTTCGTTTAAATCATAAATTCTGTGCGAATTTTCAAGGTTGTTATAATATAGAAAAATTTAGCTGTCATCATAATGGCTAATTTACCTTAGCGATTCTTGCGACTTAATTGCTTTTGGTGGTATGCTTAATATTCATCGCGCAACCGGGAATATTCCCAGACTTCTGGGTAAAAACTTATGGAATTAGGCAGGTTAATTTATTCATTTCATCTGTTGACCGCTTCGGCCTAATCAGATCTGGCCTTCATAATTTGTTGAGTCCCGCCTTATTTTGAAACCTGGCGAAGCTCTTGGATCACTCCAATTTCCCACTTCTAAAAACCCAAGTAATCACGAAGACCGATAACAGTCCGATAAGGGCCCTTTTTGCATGATAAGTTTAATACAGGGCTTCCATATTTTATATCGACCGTATATCAGCTTTAAATTGTACAAAGGGCCCTTGTTGGATACTTGGTAATGGCTTCAGCCCTCGATTTCTCGCGAATAAAAGCTCACCTGTTAGCGGAATTGAGCCCGACTCTGAGTGTATGGATAATTTGCAGTTACCTTCGAAAACCAACAAGAATTACTTCATGATGTAATCACAGACCAATGTTCCGAGATTTGACTCCACTAAAATTGGGATATGAGTAGCAAAAATGTTCATCAACTTACTCTCCGTTTCACTTTGCCAACCAAATCAATACGCTCACCTCGTTCCAAATCGCTAACCATTTCCGTTTCCTTCTCCACTTTTCCTCCTCTCCTTCCAGGGAACTGGCCGACGAAAACGAAGAGCTCCTCAAGCCGAAGGTTCTCAAATGTCCGGCCGTCTTCACGATCGCCTACCTGAAGAAATTCATCATCTACAAGTACAACATTCCGACGCATCTCTTCTACGTGGAAATCATGTACAAAGTGCAAACAATCACCCTGCCGGACCACTACACCCTGATGGACGTGGCCTACATCTACACGTGGAAGAAGGTGAGTGTCAGCTTTTCGGTTCCTTTTCCCCCCTGAATCAATTTCCCGGGAATTTAATAAGTTCATTCCGTTTAAAACTTGCATTCTTTTCTTCCTTCCCATTTCTCCCCCTGGTAACAGGATGCCCACATGAGGTTCTTCTACCGCATCAGAACGCACGAGATGAAATCGGTGGAGCTGCCGGAGGTCCCTCTGCGGCGTTCGCCGAGCATCTCGACCGGCCGCACCAGCACATCGCTGACGACCATCAAAGAGGAGGAACCCGACAGCAAGGAAAATTCGGACCTCATAAAACCGAGTGACATTAAACGGGAAGAACCAAGCGTGGTGGAATGTGATAACAAAGTGAATAGTGATTCCACAACCCCAACCACAACTGTTGCGACTGCTCCATCGGTGCCAAACAAAACGACGTCGCCTTCGACGACGACGGTGGCAATGGTGACAACTTCTGCCTCCAATGCTCGCTCTGGTGTGAGTGAGCCAACGTTGGATGTGAAGTCCAATGTTTCAGCGCTTGGTGGACGACATCAACAGCAGCAAGTGGAAAGTGTCGAACAGCCCAAAGTGAAGAAGAATGAATCGATAAAGCTGAAAATAGAAATGAACAAAAATACTTATGTCAGTATCCTGCAAAGCCCTCAGCCGGATGCTGGCAGCAAGCATCACAAATCGGACAAAGGGGAAAAGGTGAAGAAGAAGAAATCAGAGGACAAGGACAAAAGTGTCAATAAGATTAAATCGTCCAGTGATCTCAAGATTAAGATAGAAAAAGTGAAAGATGGACTAGTCAGTGTGAAGAAGGACGGCAAAAGCAGCAAGAAGGCACCGTACAAGGTGGAACTCAGTGGACTCAGTGATGTGAAGAACAATAATCATAAAAGTGCCGATAATGAGTACGAAAGTAAAAAAGCAAAGAAAGAGGCGAAAATGTTGGACAAATGTGCGAAAAAAATGAAATCACCCAAACGCAACCTGGATTTGGAAAAAGTGCAACCGTCGATTGTGTTGAAGATCGACCAGAAGAGTCCGGAACTGTCGACTTCCACGTTGAAGATGGTATCGCACCCTCTGGCGTCGTCTTCGCCGAAGCACAAAGCGGAAGCTACCTTGGAAGATGAAAAGTCCCAGTTTTTGAACTCTTTTGAACTAACTCCGATCAAATCTATTCACAATAAGTCCGGATCACCTATGAGTTCTCCGGAATCGAATTCGTCTTCACCACCGAGTTCTTCGAGTGGGGATATGAAACTGGGAAAGCGCAAGAATAAGGATGCTCCTGCTGGACGAAGTGTTCTTAAGAAGCCGAAGCTCTCCGACGACGAAATGAAGGCACTTGTGGAGAGGACAGTTCAACAGACCAAGTTCACTTCTGAGCACATGGCATCTTTAACTACTCCGGCAAAGACAGCTAAGAAACATTTGGAAAATCCGCCTGTAGCAGTTCCGGTTTCAGTTCCCTCGCAACCACTGCCTGTAAAAAGCGAAACTTCAGCCAAGGAGGTTCCAAAATCTGAACAAAAATCGAAAACAACCGGCTTTAAGGCTCCATCAGTACTTCCTCCTCCGGTGGTATCTGCCAATAATATTCCCGCACCCAAACCTACTCAGCCTGTGATGATTGCCCCGAAACCTGTGGCAGAAGCTCCAAAACGACCCTCAGTGCCTTCGTTCCCAAAACCCATACAGCCAATGAAGAAGCTACCTCCACTTCTACCGAAAGATCCCGACTACATAAAGAACAACAAACAGAAGCTGATGGAAATGAAACGCCCTCAGCAGTCATCCGCCGTAAATTTGAACATATCCCCCAACAAGGACACGGAGATTAGCCAAATCAAGCCAGAAGACGCTAAGAAAAACATCAAAGTGTACGGTCCACCCTCGGACAATGACAACTTTGCCGTTCCTGCCGCAGTTCCATCCCTGTCCAAGACGAAAACAAACAAGAATCGACCGGTAAACTTCCTAAACTATGCCCTACACAACACAAACAAGGCTCCGGCCGGTTCTCGAACCCCAATCCCGTCATACTCCAGCTCACCCAGCTACTCGCCAGACTCGCCCCAGTACAATCCCAACTTCAACATCTCCACCAAGCAGTATAAATATACAAACCCACTTGCATATGCTAATTTCGTTCAAAATATGCTCAACGATCGCAAGAGTAGCAATGTCTCCCCTCCGTCTGTGCCGGAAAAGAAACCTGAGCAATCGAACGAGAGGAAGCGGCCTTGCCCTAGTCCGGAAATCAAGCAAGAACCACCGGAAAAACAGCCGAAAGTTCAGTCACTGCTGAATCAAATCAATATCCCCTCCTCGCTGTCCATCACCTTGGCTACGGAGGAAGACGAAGCGGCCCGAGAAAAGGCACGAAAGAGTCTTCCCGAAGAGGACAAAAACTACATCGAAATCCTAAAGCTACCGGAAATTTCAATAACGGAAGCCGACCGGACCACGCCACCGAAAGCGCAGGAAACCGCTCAAAAGAAATCCGCCAAATGTCCGAGTCCATCCAAATCAGACTCACTGTTAGCGCAAAAGGCCAGCGAGCTCGATAAATCCTCATTCCAGGATTCATTCATTCAATCGATTAAAGGGAAAGTGGAAAAACAGCGACCCAACAAATCTGGCAACAAGCCAGAGAAGCAACCCGCTCCGGTGTTCACCCCACCGACTCCCGTGCCGAACAACAACGCATTCAAACTGCCGAATGCAACCGTTCTCAGCAATGGTATTGTGAAGCTCAACTCCTACCCCGAATTGGATCTCATCAACAAGAACAGTGCCAGCCAAAGTCCTCGGCCGTTGCCTTCTCCACCCAAAACAACCACCTCCAAACATATTCCGATTGCTCCGAAACCAACTGGCACATTCTTCCCGCCAACCGGAACACCGCCAGTGCCTTCTCCAGCCCATCGCAAGAGCATGTCACCCCCGGTCCCAAAACCTTCCATCTCACCAATGCAACCCAAGTCCAAAACTCCTCCAATCGTATCCTCGTCGTCCCCATCGCATGCAACCCTCGCTTCCATGGGTCCCATGTTCGGTCTCCAAATGAAGCCGGAAGGATCCGGCTTTCATCATCCGAAAAAATCTGAGCCAAGGCCGAAGAAATCCTCGCAGAAATCGCCCAAATCCAGCGCTCTGGATCTCACGGCCACCCCTGCCCCGATGGTTGACAAAACCAAAGAGACCATGAACATGCTCATGATGAACAACAACATTAGCAACGCGCAAAAGTACCAAATGGCCAACTACCTCAACGGCATGATGGTACCGCCAATGGGTGGCAATCCTATCCTCAACCAAATGATGGCTGCGTCCTTCTACTTGCAGCAGTGGAACCGAATGACTCAAGCCAAAACAGACAGTCTGGAGAAATGAAACTTACTCCCACCAACGACTCGGGAAGCGATTGTGATAGACATTCCCTAGCCGCGAAAAAGCGGTTGAACAGCGCGTCGTTAATGGGACAGTGGCAGTCAATCTTCAGCCGATTATTTATTGGATTATTAAGACGGGACGTGTTGTGCTCAAATTGAAATCTCACGCCGTTCGGAAGAGAGCAAAAGCCAAAAACAAACACACCGAAAAGACACAAACACACATCATGTATACGATTTAACGAGGAACGTTTTCCCCTGTAAATACCACAGCATTGAATGTTTAATTTTTCGTTATCGTGTAGATATGTATTTGTGTGTAAGCTCAACTCATAGTCAGAATAGGATACAGCTGTTTGTGTGAAACGAGAAACCGCTTCAATCGAACCGGGCTAAAAGCCTCTGGCTGCATCTAGATTGTAAAGCAAACGGAAAACATGTGAGTTCGTTTAAGGCTGTTTTTACGAGGGAAAATTGTCCACGCGAGAGAGCGAAACGCTAATGTCGAGTTAATTCTCACAATTTCTCGTTTCTTCATCTCGACACATCCATTCACATGTCAAACGACAACGACGGTGACGAAGACGACGATGTTACGTTGGTAGGTCTTTTTTTTTATCTTTGTTTACGAAACGTCAAAGTCCGTCGCTAGGAGCCAGTCAGGTTTGGGCTTGAGCACGGCAGAGCTGTGCTTTCTTCTTGCTCACGTTTTCTTTGAGTGAATTGTTGTTGTTTGGCATTGAGGCCTCCGCGAGAAGCGAAACCACACCACAGCCAGCATTCGCTGCTGCTGGGAGCTGTTCTATGAAAAATGAGAAAAAAAAAAAATAGTAGTGACTAAAGAGAGCAAAAAATAAAACCTTTATGTAACGGAAACGCTAAAGCAAAGCTGCTTTTCTCCGCTGGTTTTCAAGGAAATCTGTTGTAACTATAGCAATGTATCAGCCATATGAAGGAAACTGTAAATAGATCATTGAAGTCTGTTAACGCTGGCATTATGTTGTATTTATTTTTGTTTTTATTTTGTTACTATCTAATTTCAAACGACAAATGAAAATAGAAATCCTAGGTCAGTTCCGACAATGTAACTTATCTATGTGTATATAGAAGTCATTCGTGTAAAATTCCTAGTAGGCAATAAGTTATGTATATATTAAATCTTAATCCAGAAATAATACAAATCATTAAACAAAAACTGAAGTTCCTCTCGTTACTGGAAAAGATCCGAAATTCATACGTTCGAAAATCGAATGCCACTCTTATCTGCCAGCAAGGTTTATCATGCTCTTTACATTATTGCTGTAAACGAAACACGTAAGTATGGACCGCTGCCGGATAGTGCTCTCTATCACCAATTTGCGAATGTGTGTATTTTTTGTTTGCTTCGTTCTATGTTATTTAACGAATGCTCTGCTTTGTACCTTCTTCCTCCCGGCTGTTGGCAGTACACATCCACAACGATGGGTTTGTTCACGATGCAGCGTTTGTATACTGGTGGTGGTCCTAGTTCGACGGAATTGGCGGTTTGTTTCAATTTTGAACTTATTGCATGAGCAATGGGCAATCGATTTACAGGAAAACGAATGCTCTAGTGCATACATATTGATCCGCGTATTTGTTATATGTGTACTTTATTTAACTACTTCGAAATGTATACTATTTTCCGATTTTGTGTACTGATAGTAATATGAAATAGAATTACATAATATCTTGATTAATGTTTGAATAGGTCCTATGTCCATTTGCAGTGGTGAGCACCGTCAATCAAAAAGTTAACGATAGCGAATTTGTGCTACCCGGGGATTATCCAATCGGGTGGCAATTACAGCTTGAAGTTCATTGCGTTCAGCGACAAGAACTATCTGCACTTCGGATCGATGATCTGTGCTCTGGGTGTGAGTTACAAGTTGCTGGTCAATCTGACGGAAACGATTCAGAAGCACTACACCTTTCTGCTCAATCTGGAAGAGGAACTGCTGAAGGAGATGATTCGGGTAGAAAGCTCTCGGAGGGTTTCGACGTCGGAATGGATTATGCCAAGAAGAAGGATCCAAGCTAAGACGTACGGTTTTGCCATCGAGTTGGAACTCCGGGAGAATTCGGTCAATTGGTAATCTTCCAAACAAAACTTACTTGAACAATACCGAACTACTTTTCACGGCACATAATTAGATTTTTAATTAGATAAGTATTTACTTTGTAGAGTTATTCCTATCGATTGGCGTGTTTAAATTTAAATTTTATCTATAAATGACGAAATTACAAGCGTTCAAAACCTAACATTATTTCGTTACACATTTTTTTTTTATATTGCGCGCCAGTATAGTCCACAAAGAATTAGTTCTACGTCAAAACTTGTACTATATGGAAGACGAGAAAATCAAATTGATCCTGCACACCCACGTCGAAAACCCGACGTGGTCAATTCGAAATATTGCGTTAAAATGTACCGTTTCTACCGTGGCAGATGTTCTCAAGCGGTTCCGTCATCGTGTGGTCCGGAATGTTCAAATTCAAACGTCGTGCTGGAACTTTGGATTGGCAGCTGATCTGGAAGGTGTTGAGGTCGATCAAGAGAATCCCAGGGCTTTCGGATCAGGATGTAGCCAAAAAATACAGTGCCAGCCGTAGTACCGGAAGTTGTACGACCGGGATCTGCAAGCGAATTTGACAGGTTTTATGTGTCAAACACTTGTCTTTCAACCTCTTCATGGATCTAACATGTGCACAATATCATTATAACATCTAATGATTTCAAAATTCCAAAAATCATTTTTTCATAGTAAGTGAGAAGCCTGCTCATGAGTAACCTACGTTACTGAGTCAAACAGTAGTGGTGACAATCCAAACATCGCTTTTGTTTTAGATGAATTTATCGGTAGCAGATTTCTTGAAGACCATAGCGATACACACTTCAAATCATTATTGATTAGACGAGCCATTTCTTCTACAGATGCATCAATTGAACAGAGGTATAATTGAACATCATCCGCAAACATGTGGATCAAACAGACTTGCAATACTGACGGAAGGTCATTGATGAATAATGAAAATAAAAGAGGACCCAATACTGACCCTTGGGGTACACCTGATAATATATTAATGGGAGCCGAAAGATTACCTTCAATATCCACCACTTGAGTGCGAGCACTTAAATACGAATTGATCAAAGAAACAGCTTCACGACAGAATCCGAACTGGTGTGATAATTTCCTACCTATTTCTTTGGGTTTCTTCCAACGCGGTGAGTATTGGGAACCAATTCAGCACACTTTATTTAAAATCACTACACTAAACATCGGACATTTATTACAACTAACTACATCTATTACAAAATTAAAAACTGGTCTGGTGACCGTCTGCTCATCGAGCTGGTCTTTTCTAATAATCAAAAATGAAACCTAAATCTATGCCTTCTCGGTTCTTGACCTATCACAAATGTGCATATGCAATTAATTTAACATAATCTTCTCTTGGTCTGTTGTAGTGGTGGAATCGTGTTAACACTTCAATCCTCCAGACGGTGACAGTACAACACGTTCCACAGTCCCATGCAGCATTCGGAACACATGATGGCGTGATGATCAACTCTGTATGCCAGTTTCAGCTAGCTGACGCGATGCTGGCAAAGGGCAAATCTTTTCAACAGGCCTCTTCAGGAATCCAGTGGTGGTCTTCAACGTTACGACTCGTACTACGCCGTCTGTTCCTGGATGGATATCATGAATACGGGCCATTTTCCAACATAGTGGTGGCGTATTTTCCTCTTTGATGATCACCAGTTTTCCTATGGATATCGGTACAGGAGGTTTTCAACGGCCTTGAAATTGAGCTAAATACTCCATTCTCCAACGTTTCCAAAACATTTGCAGTTTCTGTAAAATTAGCTGCCAGTAAAGTAACCTGTTCATGGGAGTATCGGAGAAGTCCAGATTGTTGCAACGGTGCACTGGTAAGGAAATGTCCGGGAGTCAAGGGTTCTAAATCATTCGGATCATCTGACATGGGTGTTAGAGGTCTCGAGTTAGGGCATGATTCGACCTGCACTAGTAACGTGCTAAGATCCTCGAATGACGCAACGGTTTCGCCGAAAACCTTCAGCAAATGAATCTTTGCAGATCCCAGAGGCCACCGAAATGTGGCGCACTAGGTGGATTGAAATGCCAGGTTATCCCTTCCAAGTTACATTCCTTCACTATTTCGTCCCTATGATCCGTGCTCTTGAGAAGTTCGAACAAATGTTGAAGTTGGTTACGGGCTCCTACGAAGTTGGTCCCTTTATCGGAATAGACGTCAGTAGAACGTCCTCTTCTGGCAATGAACCTTCGAAATGCCTGCAGAAATCGATCCGTCGAAGGGTCAGTTACAAGTTAGAGATGAACTGATTTTGTACATATGCAGACGAACAGTGCAACGTACGCCTTCACTGCTATCATACGAGGACCAGGTCGAAAGTAGACGGGTCCAAAGTAATCGATTCCTGTCTTGGAAAATGGTTGAGCTACAGTGACACGGGATGCTGGTAGTAATCCCATGACCTGATCAACCGTTTTGGGGCTTGGTTCTGAAGCACCGTAAGCAATCATGTACTACTTCACGTGCTACGTTGCGACCTCCCAATGGCCAGTAGCATTGCCGAACGGTTGCTAAGAGAAGCTGTGGTCCTGCGTGTAGAAGTTTATGATGGTAATGATGGAAAAGTAATCTGGTCAACGGATGCCTTGCTGGAAGTACAACAGGGTGTTTGGTGTCTTCAGCTTCTACGGAATGTCCAAGCCGTTCACCTACTCGGATCAAGTTGTCCCTTGGTGAACTTCTTGCTACCGGTTCGTTCTTGGTTAATGCCATCCATTCTTGCTCAAACTCCTCGCGTTATACGGTGCGTATGACAGCATGCTCCGCTTTGCTAATCTCTTCCGTTGTTAGAAATATTTCAAACACTACGTTTCCATTTGATTTTTGCACAATTTCAATAAATCTTAACAAATAAGCCGTATGCTTAACTAGCTTGGTGAAGCTCGAAAACTTCCTGACGAATGATTTTCCAAATTCTTCAGGCTTTGGTTGAGCGCAGTGTGCTGAGGATCTGCGAATCTCTTCCTCAGTTTCCTCTGTGATCGTTTCCACAGATTGATTTGGCCAATTACATTGCTCTTCCTTAAGCCATGAAGGTTCTTCCCACCATACTTCATTCATCCACTCCTTGAACATGATTCCACATGTAGTTTTCCGTTGCGTTTTGAATTTTAGCCACACGATTGGCCACGAAAGTCCATGTTGAAGGAATTGCCTTCAGCCACTGTATAACACAGGTAGAATCCACCCAGAAGAACGCTTCAACTTCGATTTTCAATGCAATCAGAACCTTCTCCTTCAACTGTGCCGCTAATAGGGCTCCACATGGCTCCAACCTTGGAATGGGTTGTGATTGTAGTCGGGCGACCTTGGATTTTGATGTAAGTAACGCAACGCAGCAATTCCCTGAAACGTCAGTGCTTTTAACGTATTCACACGCTCCGTATGCCAACTTGGAAGCATCGGAGAAGAAGTGCACCTGATGTTGCCTTCGGTAGTACGACACAACGCTCGATCGGTATTTCGTTCAATAGCGGGATTTGTCTGTGAAACTTCAGCCATTCTTCACATTCCTTGGGCGCTAGATGTTGATCCCATTCTAGCTTCCTTCCTTCTTCATCCATCAAGCACCATAGACGCTGCATGAATATTTTCGCCGTTACTATAACTGCACCTATCAATCCAAGAGGATCGAAGAGAGTTGCGATCATGGATAATAATTTCCGTTTTGACAACTGCTGAATCGCTGATCTTTAGAGTTTTGAACTGGAATTTGAAGACGTCGCTTGTTGGCAGCCACAAGAGTTCCAAAATTCTCTCTTTCGATAGCGCTAAATTGTCTTCCGGTATGCCTTCCAGTACAACAGCTGAAATAGAGGCCCATTTCGTCAAACGGAATCCTCCGCTCTCCATCATCTGATCGAGTTGAATTCGAAGTTGCCTTGCGGTTTCTTCATCATTCCCACCCGTCAAAACGCTATCCATGTACACTAGACTGATGCAAAACTTTGAAAACAGTGTTCAAACGGTTTCAAATCGGGTTCTGATTAGCCTCCTAAAG